GCGGCTTCAGACCCTGGGCCCTCCTGGCGGGGGGGTCTGTGTAGAGGGGTAGCCCCCCCACGCGCCTCGGGCGCACGCGCGGCGGGCCCGCGCGGACGGCTGCGTCACACGACACATAGCCGAGAGCGAAGCGAAGCGAAGGAGGGGGAGGAGGAGGGGGAGGGGGAGGGGGGGGAGGAGGAGGAGGAGGAGGAGGAGGGGGAGGAGGAGGAGGAGGAGGAGGAGGAGGAGGAGGAGGAGGAGGAGGAGGAGGAGGAGAACCGACGTTGTCTCCCCTGGCCCTCCTCTGGTCCTCCTCTGATCGGAGACGAAGCCTGGGGTGCCGCCACGTCACGCTGTTTTCAGATCATAGCTCGGGAATCTGGCGGCCGTTCGAGGACGAGGAGGTGGCTGGGGCGGAGGAGGTGGGGGCGGAGGGGGCGGAGGGGGAGGAGGAAGAGGTTGGGGGCGGAGGCCAAGGAGGAGAGACGAGGAGAGAGGGGGAGGTGCCCTGAGATGCGGCATCGCGAACAAGCATGTATATCCTCGGTCGGAGCCATGCACCCCTCATCTTTCGAGCGGGGTCGATCCTTGAAGGCCCGAATCAAGGATAATTCCTCCGCCGTTAAAAATGGGTCTCGCGGGAGGCGGTCTGGGAGCCCAGGACTCGTTTTCCATCCTGAGTCGGTTCTCGCCAGTCCTGGGCCCGGCGAGGGCCCGCGGGGGTCGACAATAGCAAAAATCGGCGGCGCGCACAAGGAGTTAGGGGGAGGGGGGAAGGCTTCTCAGAAGCATCCTGCTTCTTAAGGCGCCGGCCTTCGATCCACAGATAAGGGCTGCGCCTTCTACTTAGAAGGGGTGCTTCTAAGAAGCCTTCCCCACTGCCCCCACCCCACTCTGCACGCGGCCGACCAAAACCTCCCACCGTGAGTTGTACACCACGAGAGGGGAGGAGGACGAGGAGGCGGGGGAGGAGGAGGTGAGGGAGGAGGACGAGGAGCCAGCCCTCACGTGGCGCGCCGAGAGGACCCCCCCAGGCCCGACCAGCAGCTCAACCACCTGAGGGGCACAGCAAAAACACAAACCACACGCAAACCTCTTCATTGCACCGTGGAAACTCACACACACACACACACCACACACGCCACACACGCCACACACACACACACGCACGCGCAAACACACACACACACACACACACACACACACACACGCACACACGCACACACACACGCACACACGCACACACGCACACACGCACACACACACACACACGCACCGTGTGTACGTTTTTCCGCAAACCTCTTCTCGGCACGTTCCGGCGGAGCCCTTACCGGAACGTCTGTCGAGGACCAGCTCAGGGGGGGAACCACCGAGCATGAGTCGGCAGTGCATCGCCGACGGACTGGCGACAGGCCCCCGACAGGGTGGGGCGTCTCACGATTCCACAACTGGAAAAACTGGCAGCGGCTCAGAGGAGCCCTGAACAGTTGGGATCAGGTCGCCAGGGTCGGGAGCGCTCTCGGGAGGGCGCAGCCGCTGGAGCCCCATCCCGTGGCTGGGAAACCTTCTGGAACCAACGAAGGAGGAGGAGGAGGAGGGGGAGGAGGAGGAGGAGGAGGAGGAGGAGGAGGAGCCAGGAGGAGGAGGAGGAGAACCAACGAAGACGTCCGAAAAGCTCGCGCGTGAAACGTTGCCGGACACTCGCTTCGTTTCTTGGCAGCCACAGGGCCGAGCGAGGGCCCCCAGAGACCGGCAGTGCAGAACAGCCTCCGCCCTCCACGGGAGGCCTCCTCGATGGGGTTAGAGTACATGGGCGTGGAGGATCGCGCCGCATCGCCGTTGCAATGTCGCCATCGGCGATGCCTAGTTTGACTCCATCCCATCTGGAAGGCCTAGATTGGTTCGATCCGCCCGACGAGGACTTCAGAAAAGCTCGAGCCTCTAACGTTGCCCCCAACGGTGCCCCTGACCACCGACGCCGGCCGCGTCAGCGCAACGGCCATGCCGTCGTTGGCCATGGCGGCGTTGACGCACAACACCTCGTCCGCGTCGCCGCGGCCGAAGCGTTGCAGGCAGCTCCCGGCCTCCTCTCGGAGGGCGCCAGCCCTAAAGATCCTTCGAGCTTAGAGATTTTCGGATTCGAGGTTCGAGGTTGTCGCTCGATATTGTGGCGTCTCGCTAGTCGTCGTCGTCGTCGTCGTCGTCGTCGTCGCAGTCGTCGTCTGTCGTCGTCGTCGTCCGTCGTCGTCGTCGTCGTCGTCGTCGTTATCGTCGTCGTCGTTATCGTCGTCGTCGTCGTCGTCAGTCCTCGTCGTCGTCGTCGTCATCCGTCATCGCTGTCGTCGTCGTCGTCCGTTCTGATCGTCGTCGTCATCATAATAGTCGTTGTCGTTACCGTCGTCGTCATCGTCGACGTCGTCGTCGTCAGTCGTCGTCAGTCGTCGCTGTCGTCGCCGTCGTCGTCGTCGTCGTCAGTCCTCGTCGTCGTCGTCGTCGCCGTCGTCGTCCCGCGTCGTCGTCGTCGTCGTTGTCGTCGTCGTCCGTCGTCGTCGTCGTCGTCGTCGTCGTCGTCGTCGTCGTCGTCCGTTGTCGTCATCGTTGTCATCGTCCGTCGTCGTCGCCGTCGTCGTCCGTCGTCGTCAGTCGTCGCTGTCGTCGCCGTCGTCGTCGTCGTCGTCGTGGCCGTCGTCGTCGTCGTCGCCGTCGTCGTCGTCGTCGTCCGGCGTCGTCGTCGTCGTCGTCCTCGTCGTCGTCGTCGTCCGTCGTCGTCGTCGTCGTCGTCGTCGTCGTCGCCGTTGTCGTCCGTCGTCGTCGTCCGTCGTCGTCGTCGCCGTCGTCGTCGTCGTCGTCCTCGTCGCCCGTTGTCGCCGCTCGTCTCCGTCGTCTTCGGCAAACGCCGTCGGCACACTGCCCCGTGGGTTTCGGTCGCCGTTGGAGGGGAAGAAAAGAAGATCATGACCAAGACTGAACGCGGAAGCATCGTGCCGATCTTCGTCAGCGCAAGTCTTGGTCAGCACCACTGCGTGTATCATCATCGCGAATCGGCCGACATGGACCATGAACAAACGCGGCACTGACAATACCCCGCGACATCTTGGTCATGGTCCCCGTGTTTCCTCCCAAGACGAAGCCAAGACGAGGAGAACATCGGGTGACGATAAGCTGAGAATCTCTGAGAGCGCTCCGGAGCGCCCTGGGACGAACTCCTCCTCGCCCTGGCCCCGTCCGAGTCCTGGTCCACGCGCTTCTGTCCTCGAAATTGCGCTGGTCCTCAGCGGTTTTCCAGAGCCCCCCCGGGCGTGGTCCAGCGGCTGCGCCTCGCGGGGAGCGTGCCGGGGGTGCCCGGGTCGTCCCGAACGGCCGCCGGAGAGCTCAGCCCGAAAACAGTTCCGAGGGATCGGATGAGGCGCCCTCTGAGATCCTGGCGTCGCGACTTTCAGGGGGCAACCACTGGGAGGCCTTCGAAGGGCCGCGACGCCGGCTCAGGCCGCGGAGCAGACGGGATTGAGCCGGATTGACGGGGATTAAGCCGGATGAAGCGGAAGCAAGCGGGAGTGAGCAAGATTTCGGACCCCCTCCACCTCCATCTTCCATACCTTCCGACCTCTGCGGAGGGCGCGGAAGGTACCCTCCCTTGAAAACATGATCATGCATGAAAATGAAAATCCGCCGAATTGAACACGGAGAGCAAATTTTTACTCTGTCAGCGGGCTGTAGCGACATCGATAGCAATGCTTCAACAACCGACATATATTGTCGACCTGCGCGGTCGTGTGTGACGCGTTGCACCTTGTGCCCGTTGCAATGGAATTTGAAAGCAGACCTGTAAGCCCAAGGCACACAAACGGTTATGATCATCCCCCCCCAAAAGCTACAGTTTAGCTCCACCTAAACGAGAATGATAATTCTCTTCCTCCTCCTCCTCCTCCTCCTCCTCTTCCTCTCCCTCCCCCTCCTGGACTCCTCTCCCCCGCACAGGAGGAGGACTGCCAAGCGAAAGCAGCGTAGAAGCAGACTGTGCGATAAGCCCCGTGGATTTTCTCGAGCGTGCGAGGAGGTCGGGAAAGCGTGCTGCATGTGTCTCCCGGAGCGTTTCCGAAAGGGCTTAGCAAAGCATCGGATCACGTTGCCCCGAAGTGAAGAAGGAGGAAGAGGGGGAGCAGGAGGAGGAAGAGGAGGACAACCAAGAAAAATAGAAGGAGGCGGAGGAACGAGGGAGGAGGAGGATCTCCTCCTCCTCTTCCTCCTCCTTTTCCTCCTCCTCCTCCTCCCTGTCCCGCTCCTGCCCCTCCTCCCCCTTCTCTCCCTTTTCCCTCTCCTCCTCCTCCCTCTCCTCCTCCTCCCTCTCCTCCTCCTCCTCTTCCTTCGCCCCGCTGTCCTCCTCCTCCCCCCCTCCTCTTCCTCCTCTTCCTCCTCCTCCCCCTTTTCCTCCTCATCATCCCCTTCCTTCTCTTCCTTTTCCTCGTTTTCTTCCTCCTCCCTCTCCTCCTCCTCCTTCATCTCCTCCTCCTTGTTCTCCTCGCCCTCCTCCTCCTCCTCCTCCTCCTCCTCCTCCTCCTCCTCCTCCTCCTCCTCCTCCTCCTCTCCTTCCCCTCGCCAAACGGGAATGGCCCCCGCCCGCGTAAATCACCTGCGCCCAGAGAGCTGGTGGGATTACCAGGAGGAGATGAAGATGCGGAGGAAGATGATGAGGATGAGGCGGGTGATGAGGATGAGGATGACGAGGAGAAGGAGGAGGGTGCGAAGGGTACGGTCGATGGCAACTTTGGCTCCTGTCACTTCTCGCCCGCTGACTTGGCGCCACTCGCATTCCATCCTCTTCGGCCCCAGCGATGGGGAAAGACAAGGACGACGGTCAGACCGCTATGAATAGCATGCTCCTTGCAGGGTTGCAAGCCTACGCCAATTCAGATAAGAAAAAAAAGAAAAAAAAAAAAAGATTCTTCGTCGTCAGAGTTGGAGGCTGACAGTTTCTTGTACGAGTCCAGCATCGAGCTGGCCCCCCACCACAAAAAGCTCACCAACATGACTATCAAACAATTGCTGTACGTGCTCACGACGCTGCCTGACACGGGGATCACCAAAACCGACGTAGAGGAGCTCGGCGCCAAGAACTCGCAGGTGTTGCGAAGCGTCCGTGGCAGCATCGCACACAAGTACAACCAAAAGAGGTGCGCCGTGCTGGAGAAAAAAATGAAGGCCATAGGCGTGGGCATCGGCGACACTTACAAAAACAGGTGCCTGAAGCTCCTGGCGTTCGCTCTCGGCGTGGACCCCGAGCGGCCGTTCAGGGTCGGCAGGGATAGCACGCTCGGCGAGCACATGTGCAAGTGGGTGCTGGTCTGGAAGAAACGCAAGAAGGAGTGAAGGGGGAGGGGGAGGGGGAGGAGGGAGAACCGCAGGGAAGGAGAGGAGTCTTAGTAGGTTTATCGACGGGGCCAGGGTCAGGAGGAGGAATACGAGAGGAGGAATAGCATGAGGAGGACAAGAAGGATCATGATGTAAATTGTGAAGGGGGTGAGGGGTGGGGAGGAGAGGAGAAGGAGTAGTAGGAGGAGGAGGAGGAGGACGAGGACAAAGAAGGAGGATGGAGAAGGAGGAGGTGCAAAAGGGTGGGGGAAATGGTGACCGAGGAAATGTCGTAAGAATCATCAGATGGGGTAGGAGCAACACGAGAAGAATGAGGAGGATCGTGATGCGGACTGCTTTGTCGATGATGATGGTGGTGCTGATGATAGTGATATGCTGATTATAAGGATGAGTGTGAATGTGTTGTGGTAGTGCTAGCGTCGTGAGGTGATGGTGAGGTCGGTAGGAAAATCAGTGTTTGTTGTTGCGACGTCGATTGTAACGATGCGGATAGTGATGATGGTGGTTGCGATGTTCACGACGATGATGGCAGTGATGATGCATTTGTGATGATGCGGTTGTGATGATTGTGGTTGTGATGATGCGACTGTGATGATGGTGTTCGTTAATATTATGGTGATGGCGACGACGAGGGTGAAGGTGGACGCGGTGATGACGATGATGGCAGTGATGGCGGCGACGACGATGCTTATGATGGCGTTGTTGAGTGCCACGCTGCGTGTGATCGTGATGGCGCCAACGGCGACGCGGGGCCTGTTGAGAATGGCGATGGTGATGGCGATGGGCAGGTCGATAGCGGCCAGGAATGGCGATGACGAGAGGGATGAGGGGGTGAGGAGGACAACGGATAGAGGGGGAGTGGGAGGAGGAGGAGTTGGAGTGATGAGGAGGAAAAGGATGAGGGGCGGAAGTCTCGGCCAGGAGAACGGTCGCGAGTTCATGGAGTTGTTCGAGAAATTGAAGAAGGCGGCGGACGAGGACACGCCGTTGCCTTCGCCGCTGCCTGGGCTGGCGGGGAGAGGGGACGAGGAGGAGGAGGAGGAGAAGAAGGAGAGGCACCCATGCGAACCCGAGGAGGGCGGGGAAATGGACCCATTGAGGAGGGAGAGGGATAAGGGCGAGCTCGAGGAGAAGGGAGCCCGAGAGGGAGGAGGAAGGGAGGGAGGTGTGAGGGCGCGTCCGAGAGGGAGGAGGGGGAGGGTGGAAGATGGGCCCCAGTGGGTGGGACGGTTGGGGTGAGGGTCGGAGAGGGAGGTGGCGGGGGGTCAGAGAGGGAGACTTCACCCTCGGACTTTTCTCCCTACTCCCTCTTCCCCAGGGCCCCCGCTGGAATTCTTCTCGTCCTTACTCGTCCGCGTTCTCCCTCTCGGTGTCCCCTCTCCTCCAATCCCTCCAGGTCCGCGCCCCCTTGCTCTCGGGCTCCTCCAGAGCTATCCACCGCCCTTCTTCTTATTCGTCTGCTGTGCCATATGTTTCTTCTTATTCTTCTTCGCCCCATCCCCCTGATATCTCCATCCCCATCCCCTCGCGTGCTCCTCCCTCCTCTTCTCAATCCTTTTCGCCCCATGCATTCCGTCAGTTACTCCGCGCAGTCCCCCTCTCCGCTTCTCGCCCCCGCCGCCCGCCCCATGCGCCTCTGTCTCAGCCAGGAGCTGACGTCGCTCAAGCAGAACAACCCGTGGATGAACGAGGCGCTGAAGTCGCAGGCGCAGGACCCCCGTGGCGCCTCCTCGGGCGATGCCAGCGACTCCTCCCCTTCCTCGGACGCGGCGAGCGACTCGGACGGGTCGGAGTCGGATGCCCAGCCGCCGCCGAAGAAGGCCAAGCACCAGGAGAAGGCGAAGGACAAGCCCAAGGATAAGGACAAAGAGAAGGACAGGACCAAACCGCTGAAGGGCAGCCACGCGACGGACAAAGACAAAGACAATGATAAGGACAGGGGGAGCCACGCAAAGGACAAGGGCAGCCAGAAAAAGGACAAGGATAAGGGAAAGAAGATGTCTCATGACTGGTCGGGCTCCGACGTTTTGATGATCAATGACGCTCCGAGCAAACAGAAGAGATCCAAGAAAGACCTCAGCACGCCGAAAGGACGCGTGCCCAGCAGCCACGTGAGCAGCGACCACGACGACGACAGCGACTCCAGCCACGCCGACGGCGGCTCGTCCAAGGGCGTGGACGTCGGCCCGCTCCCGAAGACCGCCAAGTGGATCCTCGACCTGCCGCTCAAGCTCAAGGACGCGCCGTGCTTCTACAAGCTCATGCAGGAGCAGGCCGTCGACGACAAGGACAGCTGGAAACAAAAAGCAACGGTGACGAGGAGGAGGAGGGGAAGGGGGAGGAGGACCAGGGGGAGGAGCAGGAGGAGGAGCAGCAGGAGGAGGAGGACGGCGGCGACGCGATTACGACGACGATGGCGACAACGGCGATGACGGCGACGGCGACGGCGACGGCGATGACGCCGACGACGACGGCAACAACGACGACGACAGCGATGGCGACGTCGACGACGACGGCGGCGCTGACGACAATGACGCGGCGACGACGGCGACGACGGCGATGGCGACGACGACGATGACGGCGGCGACGACGACGGCGACGGCGATGACGACAATAACGACGGCGATGACGGCGACGGCGATGGCGGCGACGACGACGGCGGCAGCGCTGACGACGATGACGACGACAGCGACGATGACGACGACGACGACGATGGCGACGGCGATGGCGACGACGACGGCGATCTCAGCAGGACGATCTCGACATGCTGCTCAAGATGACGTGGGACCCCACCCTGAGCCCGCACTTCGCGAACTTGACGGCCTTTGGGCAGCACTGGATTCGGACCCAGATGAACATCGCTCAGGAGACGCGCGACCTGGCCGCCAAGCAGAGGTTGGACGTCGAGGCTGACCAGGTGGCAGAGGCTCGGAAGCAGGAGAGGTTGGCCGCAGAGACGGAGATGCGCGAGATCGAGGCGAGGCATAGGCAGATGGAGAAGGACCTGAAGGCTGCAAGGAAGGAGGCGGCTGCAGCGAGTAAGAGAGCGGCCTCGCTGGCCGAACAGCTCTCGGCAGAGTCTGGCACGGCCAACGCAAAGAAGAAGGCAGCGCAGAAAGGACACAAAAAGGATAAGCAGCTAGAGGCGCTTGACACTACTGGAGGACTTCATGGAGCTAAAGGGCCTGCTGATGCTGACGTACTTCCTGGAGCTAAAGGGCCTTCTCATGCTGAGTCACCTCCCTTCGGCAAGGCGCAGCCTTGATATGATCTTCTCTCGTTGCGTGATTTATGTTGTGATGTTCCTTTGATGTGCTGGACATGATGTCAATTATACGCTCGCATGTGCAGTATCGTGCCATTTGTGTTTGGTAGATCATGTGTTGGATCCGTTGTTACCCATGCTGTTTGCTTATAGGGTTTCGTGCACAGCACAGCAGGGCCATCAATCAACTGTAGCACGAACATGGCACGCGATGCGTTTGGGTCATTCTTCATTGCGGTACTTGTCTGCACGTAGTACGTAATAGCAACGGCTACCGCCGACCGCCTGCATCAGCATCCGAAGTTTGGTTTGTTTCAGGGGAGGGGGCGTAATTAGTTCACAACCCCGCATTATTGCATACTTGCCGTGGTGCCCATAGTAGTAGTAGTAGTAGTAGTAGTAGTCGTCGTCGTCGTAGTAGTAGTAGTAGCAGTGGTAGTAGTAGCACTTGTAGTCGTAGTCGTAGTCGTAGTAGTAGTAGTAGTAGTAGTAGTAGTAGTAGTAGTAGTAGACCTAGTCGTAGTCGTAGTCGTAGTAGTAGTAGTAGTAGTAGTAGTGGTAGTAGTAGTAGTAGTAACAGTAGGAGCAGCAGAAGGTAGTAGTAGTAGTAGTGGTAGTAGTAGTGGTAGCAGTAGTAGTAGTAGGGGTAGCAGTATTAGTGCTAGTAGTAGTAGTAGTAGTAGTAGTAGCAGTAGTAGTAGTAGTAGTAGTAGTAGTAATCGTAGTATTAGTAGCATTAGTAGTAGTAGTAGTAGCAGTAGTAGTAGAAGTATTTGTAGTAGTAGTAGTAGTAGTAGTAGTAGGAGTAGGAGTCGGAGTAGTAGTAGTCTTTGTAGTAGTAGTAGTAGTAATAGTAGAAGGCGTAGTAAAAGAAACAGTAGTGGTAGTAGTAGTCGTCGTCAGAGTAGTAGGAGCAGCAGAAGCAGCAGCAGCAGCCATTTTCGTTGTAGTAATAGGTCGTCGTACCAGTAATCGTAGCATTAGTAGCAGTAGCACAAGTGAACAGAACTATTAGCAGTAAAAGTAAAAGTAGAAGTAGAAGTAGTAGTAGTAGTAGTAGTGGTAGTAGTAACGCAATGGCGCAGTGGTAGTAATAGTTGTAGTAGTCGTTGTTGCTGAAGTATAACTACTAGTAATAGTAGAAGTATTTGGAGTAGTAGTAGTAGTAGTAGTGAAAGTAGTAGTAGTCGTAGTAGTAGTAGTAGTAGTGGTAGTAGTAGTAATGATGATAGTCGTAGTAGTAGTAGTAGTAGTAGTAGTAGTAGTACTAGTAGTAGGTTTAGTGGTGGTCGTCGTGGCAGCAGTAGTAGCAGTTGTAGTAGTAGTAGTAGTAGTAGTAGTAGTCGTAGTAGTAGTAGTGGTAGTAGAAATAGTAGTAGCAGTAGTAGTAGTAGTACTCGTTACGCAGTAGTAGCAGAAGAAACAGTAGTCGTAGCCGTCGTAGCAGAAGCAGGAGTAGTAGTAGTAGTACTAGTAGCAGGAGCAGTCGTAGTAATAGTGGTGGTAGTAATAGTAGTCGTAGTCGTAGCAGAAGTGGTAGTAGTAATAGTAGTAGTAGTAGTAGTAGTAGTAGTAGTACCAGCAGCAGTAAACATATGCGTTGCAGTAGATGTGATTATAGATTTCGTTTTAGTCGTAGTAGAAATACTATCAGTAGTAACGGTTGCAGTATTATTAGTAGTAGGAGTTATTTTTATCGACGTAG